GGGTTTTAGTGTTGCCAACAAGTCCAGACCAAATTGTGAAATCAGAAGAAGCTTTAATCAAGATATTGCCTTTCTGCAGTTTTAGACAATCCAAATTCTTTTTGTAATAACTCAGATGGTTCAAAAGCTTCATTGGCAGTAAGCTGAACTAAAGTGCAGTATTATTAGCCCCTGAAAATATATTTGAATCTATATCTATACATTTGTAAAGTAGGATTAACCCTAAAGTATAAATGTATCATGGGAATTTCAAAAACTTCATTGGCAGTAAGCTGAACTAAAGTGCAGTATTATTAGCCCCTGAAAATATATTTGTATCTATATCTATACATTTGTAAAGTAGGATTAACCCTAAAGTATAAATGTATCATGGGAATAAGGATCAACATCATACTTCTTTATACAGTATGCCTTGCAGCCTTCAGTGTTGAAAATACAACTGAATTTTGGCCAGAAGAAAGAACCAAGACCCTACCAAGGTATTAAAGGGTTAACACAGTCACATAATTTTGATTTCCTCACTTTTAAGTTCCACAAAGAAGAAAGAAGGCAAAATACATGCTCAGTGATTGGGGAAGTTAAAACTCTCATTATATGAAGCCCATTAACTGGACAAAGACAAATAGGAGGTTTGTCTTCCCAAATGCTAAAAATATATAAAGGTATTGACATAGGACTCCATTTCAGTACATATCCCAGTCTTAAAGCAATATTCATTTTTACATTTATCTTTTACCTATCCATGAAGTCATTTTTAATCATCTCTTTATATCAATGTTGATGTGAGACAGGAGTATCTGCCAGACAGTCAATAATATCAGAATGGCAGGTGTGATTTTTATTTTTATTATTTTTTTACATGCAATATATGCATCACACACATGGCAGGGCTTTGATCACCCAGTCGTACCTGCCATTTCGACATCAGTGTTGGACATCCTTAATATATTTTGAAATAAAGCAAGTATTCCTTAACTTTTTGATTATAATTCAAACACAGAGCTTTTCCATTCATCTGAGGCCCATATCATCAGTCCTAAATTTAAAGTAAGCTAATTCAATGACTAGCTTCCAAAAAGATATGGGAGAAAATACTGCATGAAATAGATTATTGCTTAAATGCAATAATGGAGTGGAATAAAACTTTCATGCTGTATTTGTGGATAATATGCTCATTTGAATTGGAAGCCACTGATTATTGTTCCAACATAATATGCACATTTTTGTATCAATGTTCTCCGATATATTCACAGGGTACACAGGTTGGATGTGTAGAGGGCTAATTCTCATTCTAAGCACTGCACACAAAGTACTATCCATAACAATGGCTGTAGTAGAAACTTCTGTAGCCTGTAAATAAACTGAAAATGTCATGTTTCCATACTTATATGACAGCCAATAAAACTTGCATATTGTTGATAGCAAAATAATGCAAGCACGGTTGTCATTTTTTTTTAACCTTGCATGCCTTATTTTATTTTATATGTTCTGTTATGCAGGTTGTATGCTGTAGGTTTTATTTAGCAAGTCTTATTTAGTCTGGGTCACTGACCTGTAATAAAGAATATGATTTGTTATTTAAGTTAACCTTTATACAACTGTACAGAAGTATGGAGATAGCCTTGAAGAAAATATATTGCAATTGTTAGGAAAACATGAACTCAGCCCAGGAAAACAGGAAGGTGTGAGAAAGAAACTCAAGATTGCCTCACTTAGAGTCTCTCTGATATGAAAGAGAGGGAAAGAGAATTGCTGTCAGGCTTTCAGTGTTGTTATAGCCTATATCAATAGAGTAGAGTTCTAGTATTTCTTGTGGTGTCTGTTACCTGACCTGGATTACCTCAAAGGGCCTGGTTACACTTCATGATTACACTTCAAACCATGAATCACCTGCTCTCCTGTATGTTGAGAAATATGATTAATCTGGAATTAAGCATTTTATAACCCTTCAGTATCTGGGGGAGAATTAAACACACATTTGATTGTTTAAAAAGTAATAAAACCTATCTTTACCAGCTGGCATTCCTTTCCTGAAGTTAGTTAGTTTATATGTCACATTTATATAGCCACCCATCTCACACAAAGCATCACTTATGTCTGTATCAATAGCTAATTTTATTTGTGATATGATTGCTTTTATTGTTATTTATTGATGGGTCAATTCATTTAAATATAATTGTATTGTTGTTTAATGTTGTGAATCACCATGGGCTGAGTATGCCAGGAGTATGCAGATACACATTTAGAACATAAATAAAATAAATGCTATCTAAATGCTAAGTCTCTATACTGGTAAGCAGGAAATAATTGACAATACTTTTCAGACTTTTTGATATATTGATACACAATCAAATAATATCTGAGGGTACCATAAAGGCAAATATCTTGGCAGAAGGTTGAGGCTTTTCTTGATGATGAGATGTTCAATCAAGATCGGAAGATTACAATCAGCAGAACAATAGTCTATTTTCTCATTCTCCTGTTTGTTATTCTGAATCGGACTAACTGGACTGGACACTTGACAACATCATTGATTTAAGAGAACTTTTTCATGAAATGTAGCTTCAAGTAAGCAATAGTAAGGAAAATGATGGTCATGCAAGCCAATGCCACATGGTTCTGCCATAACCCCCACGTGGTTGCATTGATCCCTTGGCTTTCTAGATATTGTTCTCCAGTGCACCTAAAAAGAAATACAAACAGAGATTTTTGATCAACAGAAGCTCCACAACATGGATAACAATCTTGTAGGGCCAAGGACCACAACATGGATGTCACCACATGGTTGTGGGTTGGTCTGAGGGAACATTTGAATGGGTTTTTGGTTTTTTTAACTGTGATCTGCTATTTCAGGCCTTACATTCTTCTGTTTCCCAGCTGATGGGAACTACACGGTCAGTTTTCAGTCATGATGGTTAGAGGGGCTCTGAAGGCCCCAGAAAGGAAATCTGGAACTGCAGTCCTGGGACAAAGATTACTAGGTATTGTTCAGTAGCACTGCAGTTTAACAAAGGAAGGATGGATTCCTTGAATGGAAGAACTGCATCTTGGGGTCAAATAACTTGCTTTATCAGCAGAATAATACAGATAAGTCCAGGTAGGTCTGGAACAGACTTCTGTCTGAATACCTAGGGAGCTACTGTTATTGAGTATCTGTTGGATATTTGAATTCAGCAGGAGCCCTTGTTAGAGGATGTGTTCCTAAACACGTGCAGAGTGTTCAAAAAATACCAAGTGATTAAGTAGCAGTGGGTCCTATTTAAATAGAATAAAACACTCATAATTATCTTGAATACAGAATATGGATTTAGCCCAGCTATCAAAGAATGTTAGGAAACATTAATTACATATGAAGTTAGATTTATTAAAAAATACATAGGATAGGAATGTCCTTTTGTCCCTTAAACACAGTGATTCATTTAACTAACAGTAGACTAGGGAAGAAATAGTTGGGTCAGGTGATCTCTGAGCTTAGTTATTTTCTTGCAAACATTTCATCACTAGGCTAGGTAGCATTATCAGTGCAAGGCTTTTACATAGGAAAATATAGCCTGGGGGGGCCGATCGGATTTAGGTGCTTTCTCCCTCTGATTCCTACTTTAAAGGATTCAGGACCTCATCCATTAATAATAATATTATAGGATAGAATTCAGATGCTGAAGATAAATGAATATAACCAGTCATCCTACCAGGATTGTCTCCAACCTACAAGGGCAAAGTTGAGTAAAACGAAGGTCATACTTACGGCTGAATGGCGCTAACTTCCGTACAATTGGAGCTGCTCCAATTTCTATTTGAATTAAAATTGCAGAACTCAAGACCAGTAAATTCATTAATCTGCAGTGCCTTTGAAGATGAAGAAACACAGTAAAATAGTGTTTTTGAAAGCATACACAAAACAAGTCCTACATGGTGTGACAATATGCATATGCACTCAGAAGTATTACATATTATGTTCATTAGATGTATACCCAATACTGTTGAGAATTGCCACTTTAGTTATGTTTTTAGCTGCACTGGGGTCATAACCCGTAAAAGAACCTATAAATTAGTAGATATTCTTTCCCTATATTATCATTTGCATTAAATCATAGAACAGAGTTTCTGAGGTCTTGAAAGGATTTGATTTTTTTGCTATTCAGCAACACGCTATTATGGGGTAGAGGGAGAAAGTGTGTGGATGGATAGATAGACAGAAAGATAGATATTAGCCAATTCTTCTTCTTTTCAAGATGATGTAGCACTTACTGTCATGCCATATCGAGGAATGCTGAAGTACTGGAGCCAAGAAAGCCATGACAGAATACTGGTGAGATTTACCAATAACCCAGAGAAAATCTGCAGATAAAATCAAAGTTGTAAATTCAAAAAAGGGATGTAATGTTTAAAATTATGATCAATAAATAACCAAACATTTCTTGGAAAGTTAAAGGCTGATCTATGTTCTCAACTAAATCCATTTACTTTCTTCTGCATGTTGTATCTTCTGTATTCCATCTTCATGGTTCAAACTATTTACCATCAACTTGGCCTGGTGGTAAGAGAAATGCCCCTATCTGGGCATGCTGGCTGGATGCTATGCAAAACATACCTGAAGAACATTATGTTGGGCAGGGATGAAGGCAGGGAAGGGGGCCAATAAGTCATTAGGGTTAGGGTTAGTCAATAGGGAAGTCACAATCATGCAACCGAAACCCCACCTTTTTATGTGTGTTGTGACAACTGCCTATAAGAAAGGGAAGGGGCTTTGATGCATGGTTGTGGCTGACATCTTAACTTTTTTGACCCCATGGATACTTCTGATGTTGAAGAAAGTTGCCTTAATAAGGCATCGATCAAAGTACTCACAATCATAAAAACAAAGCTGATAGTCATGAGAAGATTGGCGACAGCAACCACACTGTGTCCTGTGGCAATAGCAAGTGCCATAGAAGTGGCAGTATATGACACCATCATCAGAGTAAACATCATTATAAAGAAAGCCTCTACGGTTGGTTTCAGACCTTGAGAACAAGAAAAGCAGGATTGGAATGTCAGTCCAATTATATTGTCAAGCATTATATTACACTGAGCACTTTTTGACTTGCACAAAGATGCATTTTAGCTTTTATACCATCTATGCATGGAACATTTTTTTGCAGATCTCACTTGGTATAGTATATTTTCCCAGATAGACAAAAGGATGGTAAACTTACCTAGCATGAAATAAACAATGCAGGTGAAAATGATGCTTGGTAAGGTCCTCATGGGTATTAAATCAGTCATTAGTTTTGAGAAGAAGTATACAGAAATTCGGTAGTATCCACTGATATATTCATGTCTATCATAAAACAGCCAACACAATATTATGGAAAATCAGATAATCTATTAATTTTCACTCATTAAAATGTAGGCGTGTCAGGTATTAATTGCAACAAAATGGCAATTCCTTTGAAATTACCATGAGTAGAATAATTATGTTTGCAAAAGATCTACAACTGTTAGTTTGTCTTCTTACAAGTGGTTAACACATTATACTGACCCATGATTTAACTGTTTGTGGAATAAATCACAAGCTGTGGAGTTCACGCTACATACTAGCCATAAAGCCTGGCTCAGCATTATAAGCCACTACGGCTGAGTTCACAAACCATAACTTAGCAAACTACATGATATCTCAGTGCCATGTGTCAGTTGTTCATAAAATGCTATGAAGTTATTTTTAAAAAGATTAAGCCTAAGAAATAAATATCCATACCACAAAACTGGTACAGAGTATGGGAAGTTGTAGTTTAAGGGAAAGATGGATAAGAAGTTTTAATACAAGGTTCTCATAATTCTACTACTGTAAATTACAATCCCGGGATCTGGAGGAAGAACCCATAATGTTTGTAGCATAGAGAGGGTGACTAATGTACATATCACATTTTGATATATCTTAATAACATTATATGTCCTAGTAACAAACTCCCATCCTTAGAGAACACATATTTAACAATGATTTGTGCAAAACTGTGATTCCTTTCAGTTTAAGCCATTTCACTTCTGCCCCTATTCACTTGTATGTTTGAAATCACAGATTAAAGCCAGCAGTCAAAACTTGTTTATTTAATCAGATCTTTTAATTTGTTTTAGGAAGATTTTCTGTTTGTTTTTGATCACTTGTATATCTGTTATACTTGCCAACTTGTTTTAATGAATGTTTTGATTGTTTTTTTGTAAGCTACCCAGAATCATTAAGGGAATAGGTGGCATTCTAAATAAATATCATAGATTAAAGTTACAAATAGTCACACAGGCATATGTGAGATGGGAGTCCAAAAAGTCAAGATTGTGACTACCATCCTGACTTTTTGGACTATCCTACAGACATCCCCCACCCCAAATGATCAATGAGCTCAAACTTGCACACCCATTGATGCCTAACAGAATCCCCGAGAATGGCCTTCTCAGCTCAAAACAGACCATAGTGCAGTGAAAAGTTAGTAAATTAAAAGAAAACCCTGATTTATCATCAAATAAAGGATGCTTTTAGATGCTCATCAACTGTTAGCACATTTTGTCCAGCAGTGCTTACTTACATAAATATTTTCTTCTCCACCACAAAGAGTTCAATAGCTGAGATGCTGCTGAAACACTGATTAGTGGTCATAAAGAACATGGCACCAATTCTAGGGAAAAAACATAGATTGTCATTGTAAGAAACTAGCTTTCTGAACATACCATGATTTTTCAAATGGCTTTTTAAAAATAGCTGAGCCCAGTGCTCCTGGGTTTTATTTTCTTAGCAATAAATACTCTATCACCTGTGTACTAGAAGCTGGAGAGCAGGTTTACAAAACCTCTCCTCCAAGTGTTAAATAGATGCAATCTTTGAAAGGCTGGTGCAGTTGCTTAGGACCTGCTCTGAAGGCTGAGACTTCCGGGAGAGATATGGTGAACTGAAGAGAGCTCCACAAAAGCAGAACCAATGACTGTGGCAAAGACCAAGGCACTGGTGAGCAGACCAGTTTCTTGGAGCTTCTCCGGATAAGGAGAGGATCGGGGAGACTGCAGGACAGCAGTTTTCCATGGGTTTGAGTGCTGGGAGACAACAGGATTAGCCGTTTTGCTCACAACTGCAGCAGAGACTTTTAAAGGACACTAAGTTTGCAAACCTCACTTTCTAATCACTTTCAGAAATTTCTCGTTAACTACTTCTAAGCTATTAGAGACCTTTGAAATAACAAGTTTGAAAATGCTGGGTGAGTCTGCCTTCAATTAAGAAAATATTAATGCAGCAGAGACTTTTAAAGGACACTAAGTTTGCAAACCTCACTTTCTAATCACTTTCAGAAATTTCTCGTTAACTACTTCTAAGCTATTAGAGACCTTTGAAACAACAAGTTTGAAAATGCTGGGTGAGTCTGCCTTCAATTAAGAAAATATTAATCATAAACTTTAGAATTTAAAGAATCTGAAATAAACAACAAAAAGCCAAATAAGATAAAATTGGAATACTGAAACTTTTACAATAAGATTTTAGAATTAATTATAAAGAACAAACAGCTTCTCATGGGAAATAGATTCTGTTTTGGTTTTAACAAGACACAACAAGGATAAGCAATTTCATGATTTCAAAAACTGGACATTAGAGGGGACTAAAGGTTTTAGGTAGAGGAAAGATTTACAAGCA